GATCCCTAGAGACATACCCTGGAAAGATATGCTTTGCCACTCACCTCCTTCTTGCCAGGAAATGAGTAGCTCTGTTCCACCACAATCTCCGGCTGTGATGTTCTGCCTGGCCTTGGGCCCACAGCAATAGGAATAATCAACCATGGACTGAAGCCTCCGAACCTGAAAGCCAAAATAAATCCTTTCTTCTTAAGTTTGTTTGCTCAGAACAGCAACAACCACAACAAATATACTACTTCACTAACACAGTATTTATTTGAGTGTCAGATAAACAACAAATGTTTTAATCCTATGAGGATGGCCCAGGTTATATTTTGTCCCGCAATCCTAATTAGGAATTTATTATATATTAAATAGATTTAGACTTTAGATTTAAATATTTGGGCAAGAAGTGATATGTTAAGTACAAGTGTATGATTACAGATCAACAAGAAAAAGGCAAATCATCTGGGCACTGGTGGCTCACATCTATCATCCTAGCTACTTGTGAGGCTAAAGTGTCGAAGATCTCAGTTTGAGGCCCAACTAGGCAAACACAATACTCCTCAACCAGGTATGTGAGAGGCTGAAATCAAGTGGATCATGGTTTCAGCCCAGCTCTAGCAGAAAAGTTTGAATCAGTACTTGAACAGAAAAAACTGAATGTAGTAACTTATGCCTTTCATCCAAGCTATAGATGGAAGAACAAAAAAAAAAAAAAGAGGTTCACTCTCCAGGCACATACTTGGACAAGAAGCAAAATTCTCAAAATCTAGTGAGTGCATAAACAATCTGAAGGCATGGCTCAGTTGTAGAGCACCTGCTTAACAAGCATTATGTGGTTCTGAGCTCAAACTCCAGCACTGGGAAAGAAGGAAGGAAGGGAGAGAGGGAGGGAGGGAGGGATGGAGAGAGGAAGGGAAAATAACCCAACAGAGAAATACAAAGAAAAAGAAAAGCCAACAAATAAGCATGTAAACATGTTTAACTTTGTATACCATGAGGGAATTACAAACTAAAACAATACTGAAATCTTCAATTGAAGAAATTTTAACTCTTCAACAAATGGTACTGGTAAAATTGGATATTCACTTGCAGAAAACTGAACTAGATCCCCACATATCACCTTCTACCAGCATCAATTCAAAATGGTTCAATGTAAGACCAGCAAAACTTTTAATTGGTGTAAGAGCAAATGTTAGAGAGAATGTGGAACCACAGGGTCGTGACTGCTCAGATTACAAATGACAAAACCACTCTTGCAACTTTCAGATATGTGCCTAGGGAGTTAGGTACAAGGGTGATTATTGTAGAATTGTTTGTAACCAAATTAAATTGAAAATGGAAGAACTAAAGAAGAGTGAATAAATTCAGTAAACATTTTTACCACAGCATACTGAACTGAAGACAAAAATAACTGAGTTCATGTTGACAACATCTGTAATCCTAGCTACTCAGAAAGCTGAGATCTAAGGTTTGAAAGTAGCCTGGGCAGAAAAGCCCATGAGATGCTATCTCCAAATAATGAAGAAAAATACTGAACTGGGGGTGTCTTAAGTGGTAGAGCACCAGCCATGAAAAAGTTGAGAGCAATAAAGTTCTGAATTCAAGTCCTGGTACCAGCACAATAACTAAATGAATAAATAGAAAAACATTAAATCACTGAAAGTTATGTTTGATGTGTACACATTAAATGTTAAATGTACAAAAGACAAAATGTTGCTTGTGGATGCATACAAAAACAGATATAAGCATAAAAGCATTAAAAAAAGAAACCATTAAGACTTGACATTAAGACTTGAGTTGATGGGTATTGATAAAATGAACCTTTGAGATTTGCTGACAATACTGTCAGACATAATGTTGAGAACTGAACCTGTCAGAGGGAATAATTTTCTAGACTCTAACACTGCCTTTCAAGGTTTGAGAAATACTGGATATTTTAGTGGACTTACACCACCCTGATTGATGCACATGTGCAACCACTGGGCTTGGTAGCAGCCCGAGCCTTTCTTTCTGCAGAATGCTGGTCCAGTCTTGCTAAGCTTGTGTCTCCTGATTTGTAAATCTGTTCTGCACCCAAATAAAATGATCTTTGTACCAAGCACTGGCTCATTTCTATAATTCTTCCTATTCAGGACACTGAAATGTGGAGGATCAAGGTTGGAGGCTAGCTTGCAAAAGGAAAGCACAACAAACTTATTTACTTGTAGTTTCTGTGACATGGAAGACTCAAGACCCAGGGCAAACTACCCATTGTTATATGTACGTTGGTGAAGCAGGGAAAGCCAAGTGGAATTGGGATTGGACAAAAAGGTCCAATAGAACCTTGTGGAACAGAGCCTGGCCAGGCTGGCAGCTCAGGACCCTCCAGGCCTTCTGGGCAGCACCCTTCTGAACTAGAATCTACTTGTAAAGTGGCTCCAAGGATTTCTTTAATTAAATTGATGGTGATGATGACGATGGAGTTGTACAATTCCAGAATTCATGTTGTGAATATAAAGCTTCTTGGGCAATGTCACCCCTTTCTCGATTTTTCCCTATTTTATCCCTCCCATAGTTCATCTTTCACATAGTGCATATTGAATACAATGACTTCATTTGTTCACCCTTCTTCCCTCCATTCCTGGGACCCACTTCCCACCTTCACCCTCCCCCCCAAAAAAAAACCCATGTTTCCATTTCCTGGAATTCATTCTGATAAACAATACTTTTGTTGTTCAGAGGAGTTAGGCCTTTGGATTCCTCCTCTATGTTTACCTTCATTTCTTCAATTTGTATGTAAATACATAGAGCCCTGTAATGTTATCATGTCTACTTGTTTTCTAAATTAGGCTTCCACATATGAGAGAAAATATGTACCATTTGTCTCTCTGAGACTGGTCTACATAACATTATTTGTTCTAGGTCCATCCATTTCCCTGAAAATGACATAATATTACTTTTTTCTAATAGATGAATAAAATTCTATTGTGTATATGCATCACATTTTCTTGATCCATTCATCCTTTGTAGGGCATCTGGGCTATTTTCATAACAGTTATTATTAATAGTGCATCAATGAACATGGATGTGCAAGTGTCCTTCCTATATCCTAACTTGTAATATTCTGGGTAGAAACTCAGGAGTGTCATGGCTGGATCATAGGTAGCTCTATTTTTAATTTTTTTGAGGAATCTTCAAACCATCCTCTAGAGCGGTTATACCAGTTTACATTCTCATCAACCATGCAATAATGTTCCTTTTTCCCCACATCCCCATCAGCATTTGTTATTGTTCAAATTTTCTTTTCTTTTTTTCTTTTTGTTGGTTGTGGGGCCTGAACTCTGGGCTTTGGTCCTGTCCCTCAGCTCTTCAGCTCAAGGCTAGCGCTCTACCACTTGAGCCACAGCACTACTTCTGGCTTTTTCTGCTTATGTGGTGCCGAGGAATCAAACCCAGGGCCTCATGCATGCAAGGCAAGCGCTATAGCACTGAACCACCTTCCCAGCCCCTGTTCAAATTTTCAGTCTTACTAGAATGAGATGGAATCCCGATGTTGTTTTGATTTGCATTTCTGTTATGGACAGAGATGTTGAACATTTCCTCATGTGTTTGTTGGCCATTCTTCTTCTGAGACATCTCTTTAGCTCCTTTGCCCATTTAGTGATTGGTTTGTTCATTGGGGGTGTGGGATGGTTCTTGAGCTCCTTGTGTATTTTGGATAAAAGGCCCTTGTCAGATGCATTGCTGGTAAATATCTTCTTCTCCAGTGTGTTGGCTGTCTTTCTAGTTTAGAAACTATTTTCTTTGCTGTGCAGAAATTTTATTTTTATGTAATCCCATTTGTCAAGTCTCTCTCCTGTTTACTATGACCCTGGGACTGTCTTCAAAAAGTTCCTGCCATTCCAATAAGTTCTAACATTTCTCCTACTCTATCTTGTAGTAGTTTCAAAGTTTCAGGCCTGATGTTGAGATCTTGGATCCATTTTGAATTGATATTGGTACAAGGTGACAAACAGGGATCCACTTTTAGTTTCTACATGTGGTGTCCAGTTTTCCCAACATCAATTATTGAAGAGGTTGTCATTTTTCCCAACATATATATGTATACACACACACACACACACACACACACACACACACACACACACACATGCTTGACAAATATCAGATGACTATAAGTATATGGGTTTATTTCTGGGCCTTCTAGTCTATTCCATTGGTCTTCAGGCCTACTTTTATGTCAGTACCAAGCTGTTCGTTAATATCTCTCTGTAGTAAAGTTTAAAGTCTGGAATTGTGCCTTTGCTTGGTGTCTACTCTTTTTTTGTGGGGGGAGGGAAGAGGGTCTGGTCATGGGGCCTGAACTCTGGGCCTGAGCGCTGTCCCTCAGCTCTTCAGGTCAAGGCTAGCACTCTACCACTTGAGCCACAGTGCCACTTCTGGCTTTTTTTTTTCTGCTTATGTGGTACTGAGGAATTGAACCCAGGGCCTCAAGTATGCAAGGCAAGAGCTCTACCACTGAGCCACCTTCCCAGCCCAGGTGTCTATGCTTGAGCTGGATTTCCCAACTACAGCCTTGTATTTCTGATTGAACACACAGATATTGCCCAGTCTCTAATTTGCCATCTTCTTTCTCCTCTGATGCTGAGACCTTTTAAAGTAGTTATAGACAATGTCAAAATCTGAATGACATAAGCAATAATTTGACTCCTTGGTGGTTTTTTGTTGTTGTTGTGTTTTTGTTGTTGTTTTTGTCAGTCCTGGGGCTGGAACTCAGGGCCTGGGCATTGTCCCTGAGCTTCTTTTGCTCAAGGCTAGCACTCTACCACTTGAGCCACAGCTCCACTTCCAGCTTTTTCTGTTTGTGTATACTGAGGAATAGAACCCAGAGCTTTAAGCTTGTTAGGCAAGCACTCTACCACTAAGCCATATTTCCAGCCCCATGACTCCTTTTTTCAAATTTTCACTAGATCCTTGGTGTTTTGGGCTGATGTCCTATCATTGTTTCACCACATGAAAAATGTCTTCTCATGCAGGAAAAACATCGTGGACCCAGAAGATCCCCGGTGTGCCCGCTTAACACTCACAGGACAGATGACCACTGTATCTCCAGCAGAAGTAGAATTTGCCAAGCACGCCATGTTTTCAAGGTGTGAAGATGTTTTCAAATTGAGATGCCAAAAAATATGCAATAAGAAGAACGAGTCCAGGTCAACTCTGTGCTATTTGGTGCCTGTGAAGTAATGGCCACAATGGGCCTGAGCTGCCCCGTGGTAGCAATGTGGTAAATGACGTGCTGGGGGCGTAAGGTACTATGCAGGCAGGTGGCTTCAGTGAGCTGACACCACCCTTGGGGAAGCATCCCCACCTTGAGATGCTGCAGGTGTAAATGCCTTTGGCACAGTTCCTGTGTATTCCAAGCTTAGCAAAGCCCTGCCTTGCACTGAAAATAACTGAACCTTCCTAGTCCAGTCAGTGTCACAAACATTCTCAAATGTCCTCCCTAAGGACTTATTATTGTATTTGTTACAGATATCATATTTGTGACAAATACTTTTCCATTTTGGACTTGGTGTCTGAATGTTGCTTATGCCAATTTCAAATATTAAAGCAATTTTGAAAATCTGGTATCAGGTACTGAACTTCGGGCTTCTCAATTGCTTGGCTGTTTTGCTCATGTCTGGTACTCTACCACTTGAGCCATACCTCTAGTCTACTTTTTGCCAGTTCATTGGAGATGGAATCTCTCAACAGGCTATTCTGCCTGGGCTGGCTTTAAACTGTGATCTTCTGGATTTCATTTTCTTGAGTAGCTAAGTACAGGTGTACTTGGCCACCAGTACCCAGCAGGCCATTTTGATTTTGATAAAGTTTAAAAAGATGGGTGCTGATGGCGCACGCCTCTGATCCTTCCTACGCAGACAGCTGAGATCTGAAGATCACAGTTTGAAGCCAGTCCAGGTAGAAAAAAAAACCTCTGAGATTCTTACCAGATGTAGAAGTGTGGCTCAAGTGAGACAAATAAAGAAAAAGCTGAAGGAGAACAACCAGTCCCTGAGTCTAAGCCCCAGTTCTCACACATACAAAACAACATTATTAGCCGGGCGCTGGTGGCTCACGCCTGTAATCCTAGCTACTCAGGAGGCTGAGATCTGAGGATCACGGTTCAAAGCCAGCCCGGGCAGGAGAGACCGTGAGACTCCTATCTCCAGAAAACCGGAAGTGGCGCTGTAGCTCAAGTGGTAGAGTGCTCGCCTTGAGCTGCAGAACTGAGGGACAGCGCCCAGGCCCAGAGTTCAAGCCCCACGACCGACAAAAAAAAAAAAAAAAAAAAAAAACAAAAAAAAACCATTATTAAATAAATAAAGTTTAAAAAATAGGTATACCACAGCCCTCGTCCTCAAATATACTATAATCTATGTCATGGTCATCTGTAGTGGAGGACAAATCTGTCAGTAGCAGAAGGTAGATGTGACCCTGTCCACCCTAGCTGGCTCTCGGGCTGGATCAACAGTGGAATCTTGCTGCAGGAGTGGAGTCTGTCCCTAAACAGAGGTGTCCCATGCGCTCACTATTTTGGTACCCTTTCCTGTAGCGATCATGTGTCCTTAACTGATGCCTCCAACATCCAGCACTCCACTGTGCCCTTATTGGTTGACTCCCCACACTGGCCCATAACCAAAGCAACATCAGCATGGCCAGGTGACAGGTGGGCCTGCGAGCATCAACAAGCCCAGAAGGCCTCATGGCTCATCAGCCACTGAACTGGTATTCAAACCAAGGGAGCATGGTCCACTCAGGGTAGGGACTCCAGCTTCCTGCCTCTTTAAGGCTATCCCCAGGACCTGACGCACGGCAACTTGGTTTGTGCCTTTGGCTGGGTGGAGCAGCTGTGAGCTCAAATCAAGCCAGGAGTCTAGAGCTATCATGCCCAGACAGACATGTGCCCTTGAGAAGAGCAGCTTCACTGTGGACTTCCTTTGTCCCTGCAGGCACCCAGGCATGCGCAAGTGGCCTCGCCAGTATGAATGGTTCTTCATGAAGATGAGGATAAAACATGTCTGGCTTCAGAAATGGTATGGAGGTGTATCCGACATTTCAAGGGAGGAATATTTCAAAGCCACGCCTAGAAAGGCCTGATAGTGTAAGAAGAATGTCCTCGGTGTTGGCATTAAGGAGAAGTTATTTTTAAGGGCTGCAGCCAGAGACAGCTCTCCAATGCTGTCTATTTCCTGAAGGGCTCCTAGCTGCCCTGCCATCCTCCAGCAGAATGAGCGATGCTTACAGGGTCCCTTGTGTTGGGGCAACTTCACATCAACGATCTTTGTTTATGTTGCATTCTTTTCACCTATTTGGAAGTCATTGTTGGTTGTCAAAATGGCCCTGTGAGACCACTGATTGCTCTTCCATTCTTTTAAGGAAAAAAAAAAAAAAGGCTGTATGTACAATGTGATTGCTTTGTATTGTGAGAATATTTCTGTTGCCTGCTGTGCCAAAAGCAGTATCCTGGATCTTAAGCTCACAATGGCCAAAAAGGAGCTGAATGCGCATGACACAACACACATTGTGCTCAGGATGCAGATAGGGGACTGGAGGTGGCTACTCATCCTGCCACCAGATTGCAAATGCATTGTTGAATTGCAATTGCTAGAATGTATTGACCACTCATGGAACAACTGTCTCCCGCTGGAACATGACAGCGTTAGAACCAGGCAGAGTTTTGTATGCAAGCTGAGTCTATGTGAGTAGGCTATTGGTGAAATGTTAAAGAGAATGGGGCTGGGCAGCATTATTTTTACATATAAAGTCTCACATCTGTAGTCTTAGCTACTCAAGAGGCTGAGGTCTGAGGATCATAGTTTGAAGCCAACCTGGGCAGGAAAGTTTGTGAGACTCTTATCTCCAATTAACCAGAAAAAAAAAAATCTGGAAGTGGAGCTGTAGCTCAAGGGGTAGCTATCCAGCCTTGAGTGAAAAGTGACCAGGCCCTGAGATCAAACCCTAGTCTGCCACAAAAAGAGAGAGAGAATGGTCTATCTTTGGCACCAAGCTTCCCAAATCCCAGATGCTCCCATTTTCGGATAGCCCTGTTCTTTCATGCATTACTTGTGACAGCCAAAATAAGAAACATCCCCTTCCATCATTTGTAGAGAAGAGTGGAAAGCAAAGGCAATATGCAGGACATGGAAGGGAAGCATGAGCCACTGAGGGCCTCTTCCCTGCCCAGCCCTGGGCTAGGCCCTTAATGATACAATCAGTTAAGACACATGCATTATCATCCCTTACATGCAATGAAACTGAGGCTTAGAAAGAGCAAGCCACCACCTCACTGTTAGACTCTTGACCTTGGAGCAGCATCCCCAAGCTCTCAAGTTTTCAGAACAAGAATTTCTGAAATGTGCAGGTGTCATTGAACCAGGCACTGCAGTGATGGGATGGCAAACATGGACTTGTCACTGCCTTAAAGTCAACTCTGAAACTTGGTTCTTAACTACAGAGTTCAAAATTTTCTACAAGTGATACACAGGAATTCTTAGTGTTTGCAAGATATTAGATCATACTGGTACACACCTGTAAGACCTATATGGACCTAAGTATATGACTAAGCCCTCTTCTCATTTCAGTCTATAAAGGCTATAGTAGTATCTGAGTTTGCTATCTTCCCATAGGAATTTAAAGCCTGCTGGGTTAGATATATTACACAAAAACACATCACCATTTAGAGAAAATACACATTCTTCAAATAGATATAGAGGATTATATTAATAGTTATATTTTTATTTTAAAAAGTAAGACAGAGTTTGAGGTGTCAGCACACATTTTAAGTGCCTATTAATAAAACTAGTAGGATGTGCAATCTTCTTTCATTTGTTCTTAGCCATCTCACAGAAGAGCTCCAGGCAGTGGCAATTTCTAAATGTAAGATAAGTTGGCCTAGGAATGTGGCTTAGTGATAGAATACTTGCCTAGCATGCATGAAGACCTGGGTTCAATTCCTCAATACCACATCAACAGAAAAATCTGGAAGTGGTGCTGTGGCTCTAGTGGTAGAGTACTTGCCTTGACCAAAAGCTCAGGGACAGCACCCAGGCCCAGAGTTCAAGCCCCAGGATTTGCACACACAAAAAGAATATGTAAGGTAGCTTCTGAAGATATTTCATGTTTTCTAATTTAAAACAATTGCTATGCCAACTTAGAAGAAAGAGGGGAAACTGGAAGTACAACCGCATGTCAGAAGTATCCCATAGGTCAACCTCAAACTTTATTCCTTTTCTTTTAAATAACTCCAAACAAACAGTTATCCCTACCATGTTTCAGTGGACCAGTAATACAGGTGTGGTTGAGCTGGGTCCTCTGCTTCCTGAAATTTACATTTTATAAACTTTACTTTTGAAAACATCTCTGCCTCCTGCTCCTATCATATAGATAAAATGTCCCTATGCCAAGTTGACTTATTGCCAGGTTCCATTTAGCTCATTTCAGGTCCCCGGTGCTTCAAAGGGCTTGGAAGCCTGGATTTCATTTATTATTGATGAGTGCTGTCAACTGTTAGTCAAAATTGCAAGAAATGGAATCTGAGCACGTCAGACAGTAAGAATAGTGTTTACAACTCATGAGGTTGAGTATGATGTGCCTTACTCAGGCAGGAATGGTTCAGAAAAAGCTCTAGAAACTCATACTAATTAAAAGTTTTAAGACTGTACCAGAAGTTCTAGCCATTGTAATAAGGCAAGAAAAAGAAAAGTGCGTATGAATTGGAAAGAAATAAAAGTAACCTTGTTTACATAGGACATGATTGCCCACAAAGACAATTCCAAATAATGTGCTTTTTGTTTCTTTGTCTTTCTAACTGTATTTTTCATCTTTTCTTTTTTTATACCGGGGATCTAACCTAGGACATTGCACTTGCTAGGCAAGCACTTTGCCACTGAGCTACATCCCAGCCCCCAAATAATGTGCTTTTTGAACATAAAAAGAGCCTGCAGTACTGAATGCAGCAAGGTCCTCAGGATGCAAGGTCAGCACAAAAATTTAACCATTACATTAACAAAGAACATGAGGAAGCCATGTTTATTGTGTTTTTAGTAAAAATCACAATACCACTTAAAATCATTACAAAGAAAATTACATAGTTTGGGACATAAATTTAACAAAACATATAGAGGCTTTATGTGCTGGAAAAAATATTCTGATGAAAGAAATTAAAGGCTTCAATAAATGAAAAACAGTACTGCATTCATGGATTTTCATTATGTTTAGTAAACATACACAAACTTATTCTAAGTTATATCCCAGCATAGGGGTGTGGCTCACTAGCACAGCATTTGTCTACCATACACAAAGCCTTAGGTTAGCACTGCAAAAGAAAAAATTTTATCTCAAGGTTTAAAAGGTTTAAAATAGCTAAAACAATCAAAAGAAAAATTAAATTGGGTAAATCATTTATTTTCACTTCTTGAGTTATTGGCAGAGGCACAGATATAAACCAATGGAACAGAACAGAATCTAGAAATAGATACATGCTCTGCTTTAGTGATTTCTTTTGAAGATACGACGTAATGCAACACAGAAAAGATAATGTTTTTAATAAATTTGCCAGAGCAAGTGGGTATCTATAGGGAAAGAAAATGACTCTTGGACTAAACTTAATACTTTACCCAAAAAATTAACTCAGAAGAGGTCTTCTGTAAACATATAATGTAACTATAAAAACATAGAAAATCTTTAGGACCAAGGGCTAGCAATGTGTTCTTAGACTTGATGCCAAAATCACAGTCTGTGAGAAGAAAATGTGATAACTTAAGTCTCATAAAAAAAATTTAAAAACTTGTTTTGCAAAGGACCAGGGTAAAAAGGAGGATGAAAAGACAGGCTGATAGAGACAGAAAGTATCTGCACGCCACACACCTGATAAAAGGCTACCATCTAGATACAGATAAAGAATTATCAGTGCTGAACAGTTATTGAAATTCCAACAGAAACCTAAGACACAAAAAGCCATCTCATTTCAGAAAATGTGTGAACAACAAGTACAGACACAAAGAACTATCCAACATAATTGTTTATTGGGGAACTTACCTCCCAAAACTGCTAAAGTAAAACAGTGGTGATAACGTCAAAGATTGATAAGGATGAAGAGGGCCTGGGTGGGTCATATATTGCAGCTGGGAATATAAAACAGAATAGCCACACTGGAAAACCACTCAACAGGTTTCCCCAAAATCAAAACATACAACTCCCATACTAAGCAACAATTACATACCTGGGCATTGATCTCAGAGAAATGAAAAGTTACATTTTCAAAAAAAAATTTGTACATGAATTATATATGATACTCAAAATATGTCAGGAACACAGTGACCTTCAATCTGATGGCTAGCAAAACAAATTGTAGTAAATCCACATCCTGGAATACTGTTCCCAAGAAAACAAAGAATGAATGACTCAAATAGGCACCAAGTTGAATGCCACTCAAGAGAAGTCAGATGAACAAGAAAACTTGACTCTAAAAGTTTACCCACTATGTGACCCCATTTCTATCACATTTTGAAATATGAAATTACAAAAATGAAAGATAGAATAGGGGTTACCAGAAAGGCAGGTGGAGAATAAGAGAGGTAGCTATGACTATGAAAGGTTAACACAAAAGTCCTTGTTGGTGTGGAAATATTCTGAATGAATATGAGAAACTTAGTCATTAAATTATACTAAGTTTTAGTAAGATGTTACTGGATATAAGGTATGCAGGATTCACTTATATGATTTGTTAAAACTGCATGTGAATCTATAATTACATACAACTATTCAGAATCTACAATTCTCTCTAAAGGGCAAGTTTAATATGAACAATCCTTATCTTCATTAAAATAAGGCATTTATGCTATCTTTCTTGATGACTCCTAGCAAAAGAAGAAATTGTGCCTAAACCCAGCAGAAAAAAGACAACATTCTTTTTGAACTATTAATACATGCATTTGCAAATGAAATGTAATACTTCTTTACAGAGTTTCTAAATGTATTATGTAATACTGAATACAAATTCGAAGAGTTGATCCAGAGCTGGAGGTATAGTTTCATGGAAGTCATCTGACCAGCATGCACAAGTTAGATTTGAATCCAACAGCATCAAAAAGAATTCTACATGTCTGCTGTACAGATTGATTGAAGGCCATTTTAGAGGGGAGGATGTCATCAAGTTTCTGACATAAACGTGTTGAGTCAGGTTACAGGTATATGGTTTAGGCATCCAAAGTACATACAATGCTTCTGTACTGCTATTTATGCAAAGAACTCCATTTCCAGTCATCTTCCTCTAAAGGTCCTGAGAAATCATTCTTTGGTTACTGTGACTAAGCTATCCAAGCCAAGCACTAGTGGCTCAGCCTGTCATCCAAGCTAATCAGGAAAATTAGATCTGAGAATCATGGTTAGAAGCCAGCCAAGGCAGGAAAAGTCTGTGAGATTCTCCAAAAGGCCAGAAGTAGGGGTGTTGTTCAAGTAGTAAAATACCAGCCTGGCACAAAAAAAAAAAAACAAGAATGAGAGGCCCTGAGTTCAAGCCCCAGTGCTGGTGAAAAATAAATAAATAAATAAAAGTAAGCAAA